TGTTTAGTGACAGCTCAGGGGCAAAGAGGGGAGCCTGGAAACAGCCAAAGTGCACAAAGCCACCAGGTGGGTTTATGATAAGAGGTGGAGCTTTTAGCACCAGCTGTGACACAACTACCCTCCCTTGTATTAATTGAAGCCACTGCTATGCACAGTGTTGGGGGTTCTCCATTAATGGGGGGGGGAATCTCAACCTCTTGAGACTTGACTTAATTCCCTGAGCTGGGTGTGGTAGTGTCTGTCTGTAGTCCCAGCTAGTCTGCAGTATCTCAAGTTCTAGGTCAGCTTAGGCAAAGTTATGGGGGCCTTTGTCTCAGAGACAAAATACAAAGAAATATTGTTGGGAAGAGGAAGGTGCGTGTCTCAAGTGGTAGAGCATCTGCCTAGCATGCCAGAGGCCCTGTGTTCATTCCCCATAACTGAAATGAAGACTTCATTTCCAGCCTGTGGAAAAGACACAATTCTCGAAGCTTCATATCCATGGATGCAGTATGTACGTGGACAGCTCTCCATGGGGATAGATTGAGACCCCCAGGAATCTCCCCAGTGCGGGAACACCCCAAAAAGAGCTGCCATGGTAACTGGGGGGGGGGGAGAGGAAAGAGGCCCTGGGTTGTAATGGTCCCATAATGTCAGGTTGTTGGAAACAATATATCTGCACAGAGCTGTCTCATGTCCTGTCTCCTTCAGGGCGCCCCGCAGCATGCCTACACCCCAAACTCAGTTCAGAATCACTGCAGCGCAGAGCTCAACTCTGTTTTATTGTGTTGTGTTGGAAATTCTTGCATGTGACCATTTTCTTAGATCTCTCTCTCTCTCTCTCCTCTCTCTGAGAGGGTACTGGGGTTTGAATTTAGGGACTCCTGTTTGCAAAACAGTTGCTATATTATTTGAGCCACACTCCAGTACCTTTTCACTTAAGTTATTTTTTAGATATGCGCTTGTGTTTTATGTCTAAGCCAGCCTCCAATCAAGATACTCCTACCTCTGCCTCCTGAGTAGCTGGGATTATAGGCATGAGCCACCAGGGCCCGGCCCAAAACTAACTTTAATAGCACCAGAGAACTGTATGATGCTTGATTTTGAAATTGTCTCCATGTCAGCTAGGAAACTCAGTATTTTCTGGGACACTGTCTCCCCTTTTCCTCCCTGTGATTTCTTTTCTTTTCTTTTTTTTCTTTTTTGGTCAGTTGTGAGGCTTAAACTCTAAGCCTGAGCGCTGTTCCTCAGCTCTTCAGTTCAAGGCTAGCGCTCTACCACTTGAGCCACAGAACCACTTCTGGCCTTTTCTGTTTATTTGGTGCTGAGGCTCTAACCCAGGGCCTCATGCATGTGAGGCAAACACTCTACCATTGAGCCACCTTTCCAGAAACCACCTCCCTGGGATTTCTGAGCCCTGAGTTCTGCCTTAATTCAGCACCTATAAAGCATTTTTATATCTCTCGATTTCCATTCTTCCTAGGGTCTACGAGCTGGCAAAACCTGACAGGCATTAATACATCACGTCCACGTGTGAATGAATCCTGGGCACCCGCAAATAAATTATGCATGTGTGTGAACGAATGAGGCCAGGCCCATGAATAAATTATGCAAATAGAGTTATAGGAGATAAATTAAGCAAATGTTGTGAAGGAAGGCAGCTAAGATGCCGGGCAAATGGCTGTGGGAATGTAGGTGTAAATTATGCTGCCGTGGGTCTTAATTTTTGTCTCTGTGTTAGAATAAATTATGCAAAGTGGTCATGGGGTTGATATGCCTGCTGGACTAGACTGACATATAAGTTACACTGAGTCCACATAAATTATCTTGATATCAGAAACCAGTGATGAATAATGAATGAATTATGCAAACAATGGCTGCTTAGCCAACAAATGCAGAGCCTGCGTTGTGTGATGTGGGCATGGTTCTCTACATGCCTGTGCATATATTATGTAAATTTTGGCCTCAACCAATTAGCAGCTGTCTGTAAACACTGGCTGGTTTATGCTAATCTCCTATGAATTATGAGAATGGGGGAATCAATTATGCAAAAGACACAAGTCTAGGTAAATATGTAACAATACCTGATGTGCACTGCACAGATCCAGGAGCCTAGACCGAAGACATGACTCAGTGCTAGAGCATCAGCTCAGCAAGTGTAAGTCCCTGAGTTCAAAACCACAGTATCACCAGGAAAAAAAGCCAACAACACAGATGGAGGGGCCCTGTTAGCAGTGGAAATACCTTATATAAGATAGTTTTCTTTTTCTCTTGCCAGTCCTGGGGCTTGAACTCAGGGCCTGGGCACTGCCCCTGAGCTTCTTTTGCTCAAGGCTAATGTTCTACCACTTGAATCACAGTGCCACTTCCAGCCTTTTCTGTTTATGTGGTACTGAGGAATAGAACCCAGGGCTTCGTGCAAGCACTGTACCACTGAGCCACATTCCTAGCATTCTCTCTCTCTCTCTCTCTCT